TAAAGAAAACAAAAATAATAATTTGTGTAATTCTCCAGCCAGAGTCTGATTATGATTTGGATGAAACACTGAGAAATATCAGGCTCAGAGGCTATATTTAGCTGGATGGGATCAAATCATATCAAAAGCAGATAATCTGAAAAGGAGCAAAAAGCTCCAGGAATTTGGTTCGTTACAAATCTCTGGACTCCAGTCCCAAGCACAGGATGTCCATATTTAAATGGCTAATACCACAGACTGCTAATTGTCTGGCAACACGTATTTTCTTTAGGGATTTGACACAGCCTAGTGAATCTGCCAAACTGTTTGAAAGTCCCTCATTCAGGGACTGAAAGCCATATTTCTGTGCACAGGATCCTGGAAGGGTTATGCTAAAGCTGATAAAAGCAAAATGAGAAAAAAAGGAAAGGTGAATGATAAGGTGATGTTTTGTCCATGGGACTTTTCCAATCCTCATGGAGAATGTACAATAAACTTAGCAGTATGTGCTATTTCTAGCCTGTAGTTTATAAATAGGACCTTCTTTCCTGCTCCTAAGTCTCCTTCATTTTGCAGTCTGTGTGCTAAAGCATCAGCAACCTTATTCCCTGTTTACTCTGTGTGTAGGCTTGGAGAAGGAAATGCAGTACCAAGGCTGCTGAACAAACACTAAATTCACACAAATGATGCAAATTACTACTTTAGTGGCAGGCTGGTTCTTGCTTTTGTCAATGGCCAGGCTGGCTCTCTGAGTTGGTTGGCCTACCTTATGTGTCCCACGTGGGCTGCCTGGGAGTGGGTGCCTTCCTCCTGCCTGGTTTCCACCTCTTCCAGAAAACTGGCAGTGAATGCCCAAATATTCATGCACATAAGTATGTGATCATAGAAATGCTGGTTAACAAGTGAGGGGAATTCTGCTTGTTTGTTTCTCAGAATTTTTATATTTTGCCTGCCTTTGTGTAAGATTTCAAAAGTGGTTTGGCTGAATACATGGAGGTTTTTGTTTGTTTTCTCATTGCATTGATTTTCTTTTCCAAGAGCTATTTTTCTTTCAATAAATGACAACAAAGAACAGAGCCAAGGCCTACAATGTAGATGATCAGCAAGGATGATACTGTCATCCTGTGTCAATCAGGTTCTGAGCATGGTGAAAAAAAGAGTCCTATTGGGAACGTCAGTGTTTCATCAAGACCAATTAGTGGAGATGCTTCTGCTTATGTCAAAGCATTAATGACTGGGCAGGACTGCTTTTTGGAGTGACTGACACTGGCATGGAACAAGGCACCAACCTAATTACTCCTCTACAAGAGCAGAAAATGCCTTGTGAATGCCTGCTTGGCAAGGAAGTCTCATTAAGGCAAAAAAATCCAACATGAGCACTCCTAGGAACAAAAATTAAATTGATAGGTAACCTGCGGCCATGAGACTTGCTTCACAGCTCTGGGAAATGAAGAGACCTGCTATAGGGTGACACGGGGTATATTTGCACTTTATTTCCTAAATCTATCTTTTTAGTCAATAGGAAGTATAAGAGAAAGAATGCAAACTTGTATTGTTGGAGAACAGCGAAATTTGTTGCCATCCTTGATTTCGTTGTTAAATAGTGCTTGACAGGCATTCCCATGCTGGCATTGGACGGGAGTTTTGCTAATCTGTTCCTTCAGGATTTGCAAACTCACCTAGGAATGAAATGTTTGGTAGACCTAAGTGAAGAGCTGATAATGAGGAGCTTACAGTCTGTAGCCTCTCTTTCTGCTTAATATGATCAAGAAGCAGACTGTGTTTTTTCAGTTCAAGAGTGTTAGTGTATTTTCAGTCATAACAGTTTTGTTAAAAGAAAACCAGAAGAGTGAGGGAAAACAGCTGCTCAGATATTTCTTGTTCCCTGAGCAGCTCTGTTCACTGCTAAGTTTTAGTTGCTCCTATTCTTTTTACCTTTATATATCTTCTGCTCTGAGAAGTGCCAGAAAATATCAGAAATTCAAAGTATGTTGCTTAATTGTGATTTATGAGATAAAGTACATGTTACTACTTTTCTTTGACTGGATGAGTGCACACTTCTAAATACTGAGGTCCATTATTCATCTGGGGGGGGTGTGGAGTGTGGTGGGGTGGCGTGGGGTGGGGTGTGCAGCATAGATATTTACATGTCAGGCTTTGCACAGAAGGCACATTTTGGGCAAGCTAGCTCTGAAAAAAACATTTGCTTGGTACTGCAAGAACAGTTAGGTACACTGTAGTTAAAGAAGGATCTGGTATTTTTGCAGATGTGAAGATGTGTTTCTTGAGATGTGCCTTTTTTGGTGGTTATCAACTTATCACAAAATGCTGAATTGTGTAGCTGTCTTATGAATTGAGTGCAGCCTTCAGGATGATTATATGGCTGAGACATGATCTTGACCTGTGTTATTTCTTTGCTGAAGTCTGGCCCTTTACCTTACTTAACGCTTGCCTTGTCTATCTTACTGCACAGAATGGCAGAGAGAAATGAGGTTTTCAACAGCTGCACAGAAGAGTACCTAATACATGCTAAGGTGTAGGTGGCCTGTAGCAGCACTTAAATGCTGCAAGATGCATAATGCTACTTCTTAAATGCTACAGCTTAAGTCCCTGAGCTTGCGTCTCTCCACATAGGTCCTTCTCAAAAAATTGGGATACAGTTTTTTTCTTTCCATGAGTTCAACAGACAACACACTCACACAGCAGGTCCTTAACAGCCATTTCAAACCTCACTTGCTTTCAAAAGCGAATGAGCTTAAGGGTTTTTTTAACTGTTACTTGGGCTCTAGCAGATTTTACAGAGAGGGATACCACAAGCAGATGTGGTGTCTTGGAACATCACTTAATTCTCTTGCCTGCGATGCATCCACAGCTGCACTTTCCCTGCATGATCGCCATGTGCTTGGCCTAGAGATGTTTACAGGTCTTCAGCAGTGTTTCTTTCTGTTGCTCTCTTCCTTTCTGATCTCTGAGTGAGAATGGAGGCACAGTTGTGTCCCAATTTACCCCATAGAAAAGAGTCAAAATGAGGTTTATATTGTGTGCTAACATGCTGTGAGGCTGTCTCATGTAGCTGTGAAGTCTGGCAGCTTTAACAGCAGTGTCTTAAAAACTTTGCTTTGGTAAGACTCTTGCTTCTATCTCTGTTTTGGTGAAATAATGCTGAGTAATAATGCATTAATAGCTGTAGATTTGTTCAGGTAGTCAGGTTTCTTAGACAGGAGATCCAGGATCCAGTATCTACAACGTATTTGCCTCTGGATCTGTGCACAGCAGCAATCACATCATTAAAGCATTCAGCTTTTAACTCAGCTTTTTACTGTATCTGACTCACCAGGATCCGCTGTAATGTAATGGAGAATAGAAGTACACCAAAAATCAGTTGTTTATTCAATTTTCACACAGTTCTTATTCAATGTTGAATTCTATTGACATCAATTGGAGTGTAGCTTCAGAAATAAATAAGTAAAATATGAAAGATTTCAAAATTTGGCCCTAATGTGTTTCTTTCAGAACAACACTTCTAAGCATAATAAAATACAGGAGACAGAGATAGAAAGAGTGAGGGAAATACAAAAGGATAATTGCATCACTGTACTAGAGCATGATGATAAAGACAGATACATAGGAACTGCTGTAGCAGAGCTTGTTAAAATTAATTGTCTTATAATATTTTGTGGTTCTATAGCAGTTATCAGCTAAGGATCTTGGAGCCCTCTGCAGGATCCACCTCATTCTGGCAGTGTCTTCTGTGAGATGCTTATTATATTGTCTTTTGCCTATAGGTAGGGAAATAGGTCAGGCAAAATTACTTTTTTTGCAATTGCCTGTTTGGCCTGAGTTACATATGGGTCTAGAACTGGGAACAGTTAATTTTCACTTCATCTTACTTCAACCATCATATACATTTTCCCCCTTTTCTGCTGCTTTCCCTCCAGTCATCTTGTTGAGAAATATTTCAGTAGAAGGAAACATGTCACTCAACTCCTAATGAGATTACTGCCAAGTGTTTAGAAAACCCTTTGGAGATCACAGTCTTGGATGGTCAACTGCCGAAATAGAATAATATATTGAGTGGGCATTTGCAGAGATTTCTTATGTTTGGTGCTCTGGAGTATTTTTATTCTTTGGCTGCAGGATGGAAGAGAATATATATGTGAAATCTGTAAGCCTCTCAAAATTGAAAGGCACTGCATGTGTTGTGAAGATCCGGAATGCAATGCAGACTAATTTTTAACAAATCAGAAGAATAGCTTGAAAGGTAGAATGCAGTTCAACAAAGCCATGTGCAAAGAACTAAATTCAGCCTGAGCAGATAAGGTACCCAAATCCATGCTGGGGAGCAAACAGAAAGGCAGAAAAGGGACCTAGAAAAAAAGACCTAGGCACCATAAACAATTCTTACTATCAAGCTCCTAGTCATCAGTCTACAGTTTTTCCAAAACAGTAATGATGTTTTGTAAAAAGCAAACATCTGGAATGTATAAAATGCGTAGCCTGTGAGAAACATGAAGCAATTGTTTGATTATTCTGAGAATTACTAAAAACTCTTTTGAAGTTTTGAACACTGTTCTTCAAGGAAGGCATGAACCAAGCGAAGACAATTCAGAGGATGGCAGTGAAAAATGTCATGTCTAGACAACTTGTCTCACAGAGAAGTTAGAATAAATTGGAGGTAGTATATCTGAAAGCAAACAAGAATCTGCAAATACATAAGGGTGGACAGTATTATGTGTGTAGTGAACAGGAAAGACAGATCTCGGATCAAATTTTTTAACAATAAAGAAGTAGTATACATGTCAGGAATGCCACATTTCCCTATACTGTGAGGGGAGATGGAGTAAATGAGCTTTTTGTAGCTTCTGATTTTGCTGATTTGAAATACCTCAGTGCTAGTGTCCATGCTGGTTGTTAGGTGTGCTCTTTGAGCAGGTGACTATTTATTTAAAGAGGGTGGTCATAAGGATACTGGACAAGCAAGTTATACTAATTTGCTATGTTTTAATTTGTTTTGCCATCAGGTAAAGTTGGGAGGAGAAGCCCCAAACTCCAGTGTAATCCACATAGTCAAGGACAGTGATGGCAGCAGTAGCAGCTGGAAGAGTGTTGGTAGCAAGTGTGGAGCCAAATGCCACCTTCTGGATTTTGCCAACTCTGAGAGGCCACTTGTGGTCAATTTTGGTTCAGCTACCTGACCACCGTTCACAAGCCAGCTGTCGGCCTTCAGCAAGCTGGTGGAGGAGTTCTCTGGTGTGGCTGACTTTCTGTTGGTCTACATCGATGAGGCTCATCCATCAGACGGCTGGGCTGCCCCTGGCATCTCTTCCTCTTCATTTGAAGTTAAGAAGCACAGGAACCAGGAAGACCGATGTGCAGCTGCCCATCAGCTCCTAGAGCACTTTTCCTTGCCACCTCAATGCCAAGTGGTGGCTGACTGCATGGACAATAATGCCAATGTGGCCTATGGGGTTTCATTCGAGAGAGTATGCATTGTGCAGAGACAAAAAATTGCCTACCTGGGAGGCAAAGGCCCCTTTTTCTACAATCTGCAGGAGGTTCGGCTTTGGCTGGAACAAAACTTCAGCAAAAGATGAAATCCAGTCTCTACAGAAGCTGTGTCAATAGATGTGTCCCTTTAAGATGATTTAAAAGGGAAAAAAAGAAAACATATGCTGGTTTGAATAAGGCCTTTCAGAAGATCGCAGGAGAACACATTTGATAACAAGGTCAAATGAATGTTAACTAGGAAAATAAAATAAAATGATAACCTAACTACACAGAAACATTATTGTATGAAAAAAAAAAAATCTCACCCCTGCGCCCACTATAGGACAGAAGAGGTGAAGAGGCGTCTGCAAAAAGGTGCTGCTTGTGAGTGGTGAGATAAAAGACCTGTCTTGCAGTAACCAGCAGTGTTGCTGTTGGCAAGGCAATCCATTGAAAGGCAATGCTGTGCATTTCGTCTGAAGCTTTTCTTTACCCTCCTGCAAGTCACCTGGGAGGAGCCAGGGGGCTTGAAATTACTTTGCATAGAAATGCAGTGGAGCGTGTCTCTCTCGGTAGAGATTTTATTGTTCAGAGGCTACAGGAACCACCATTCAGTGCATCCTGCAGGCAGACTGTCCACTGAGATCAAGATGAAACATTGTATGCTGATGTTTGTACTCTCTATGGATGCATCTGCATATCATATTAACTATGTAATTCTATCTATATGTTTGTACTCACTCTACAAGCCTGTGCCTGTTGAGAAAGATGTTAAAATCTATGGAGTTGGACCAAAAAGACAAAGGTCATCAAACAAGCCAATTACAACTCGAAAACTAAAAACCCTGGACTATTTGTTACAGAACAGTGGGAACCACCTAAATCATGCATCACGAGACAAAGCTCAGCTGATGCCAACCAACCCTCAGTTCTCAGAGCTGACAACACACATTTATTAATATTCTCTGTTTCTCTTTGTTTCTTTACTCACCTCGAACTCCTGTCTAGCAATAGGTTTAAATGTAATTTCATTTTTATCTTTTTAAAAAATAACTTATTTCTCTCTTTTATTTTTATTTGAGGTAATGACCTTAAAGATGTATTTTAGGGAAGGGGGAACTTACGCACAACTTTACCTCATTGAAATGGAAACCTATACTGTCTTTTAATTGTTAATTGTAGTCACGCTGATTTTTGCTATCTTAGATACCTACAACTAGTTTATAGCTAAATTAGTTTGTTTGGAAGTTCAGTTGTTTGCAGCTTTAGAACTGATTAGCTGCAGTTCTGCTATTAGATGAGTCTGTTTCACTCGTGTTCTCAAAAGCCTTCCCAGAGATACAGGAAGGACTTTTAGTGTGAATTCATGTGAATAAGTGTAAAACATGGGAGAATTTTGTACAAATGGGTCTGAGGAATTATTAATTATATTTAAAGAGACACTATCAACTTAAAGTATGCATTAAGTTTAGGTATTTCTAAAAGTAAAATGATTTAATCAAGCCTGGTGAAAAGGCAAGTTTGCAATGCGCTAACCCATTAGAGTTGATAAATGAAAACCTGTAAGGATATGGACTATCCAATTTTTCTCTCAATTTGGGCAGAAACATGAAACAGATAAAAAGGATTAAGTAACAAAAATCAAATAGTTCTTCTAATTTCTTATCCTGCCAGTTGTCAGGAATGTGATATATTAATACTAGCATAGGGAAGAACAGAAAAAACATACATAAATATTTTCATTCTCACAATTTCCTTTTAATATTGTGTATTTCTTCTTGTTTGGCTGTTGGTCAACTCAGCCAATGTACATTTGGAAATGCGTTTTCAAGTGCAGATCTCAAATGACAGGGATTTCTCTCATCTTCACATTCATGCTTCCCTTCCTTTTCATGTTTTCCTCAACACACAGTTAAACATATACACACACTTTCCCCAGTTGGTAATATGTATCAGAGAAAGGTGTACAGAGCAGTCTTCAGACCTTCTAGTGAGCCTCACTTCCCAGAAGGTATGTGTCTGTATGCATGAGTATACGTATGTATGCATTTATGTATGCATATATATAGAATAAATATTTATGTATGTGTATGCATACGCATGCACCACAGTGGTGTCTAAGACCAATAATAACAATGATTCTGTCCTCCCATTCATTAATGTTGCTGTAACTTGTTCAATAAGGAAGATTATTATATATCTGCAGGTTATATAATGGACTGTACAGCTGAAATTTTTAAACCTAATATCAGAGAAACAGTAACATAGTTAAACTACATGCTTTATTTAATCCAGTGTCCTACCTCTGACTGTATCAGATGCTTCAGAGGAAGGTGCAATAATTTCTTCTGGATTTTTCATTAGCTTCAGCCCTTTTTTTTTTGTTCTGTCTAATGTCATTGTTGGTGTCTCATCATCCCTGTGAGAGGCTGATCCTAAGTTTTGAGATCTAAATAGCTCTTGAGGTGGAGAATGCCAAAATAAAAACCCATTATATTTAAGAACAAAAAAACCCCAAATAAAACCAGATTCTGTTTTTTTAGATTTAAATTGACTGCTCTCCAATGTCAGTCTCATCTCTTGCTCTTATATGCTAAACCAGTATAAATAGGAGTGATCTCAATTTTTCTCCTGTAGGTCATGGAAAACTACATATTTTTTGTTTGCTTCTTCAGCCAAACAATAATTCGCATACTTATGCAGGTCTATATTCTTTGCCTGTCTCTGAATTCATTCTGGTTTCACTACACTGTCTTTTTACTCAGGTGAGTAAAGATCTAGGTGCTACTCCAAGTGAAAATATGTATTCATACACCGAGCACAGTATATTTTTTTTTGTTATATCCTATTCACCTCAAAACTTACTAATCTGTAGTAATCTATGCCAACTCCATAGTTTTTGTAAAACTTAAACTAGTAAGTCTTTTTCATACTTTTTTTTTCCCCATCACACAGTTGAAGTTTGAACTGTTTGGAAAATGCTAGCCAAATGTTTAGCACAGCTGTTGAAACATACCTTTAGCTCAGAGGAGTGAGCTGAGTTAATAATTCAGTTAGTTAATATCCCTTTGCATATCTAAAGTATTTTTCAAGTCCATTTTCTCTTTTTGAGTTTCCATTTTTTTTTTCGTGTTATTCATAGTTGTCTGTTCATCACATAGGATAAAGGAATTATAATATTTCCCTCTGCAAATGGGAAATCCACGGTGATTTTCCACAAGAAAAATTACACAATAACTTCATTTCTTTCTTGGCAACATGAATGCCCAAAACGTAAAGATAACTCATTCCAACTGATTATCAAGCAGAAATATATTCTGCAAATCTTTAAATTTCTCCAGAAAATTTATGGTCAAAAGCAGGAAAAGTATTTGAAAGAGAAATGGGTTTTGATGAAATATCTTTATTAAGTGGCTAATAGAAATAAAAGCTGTTCGTTTTCTTTTTTTTGGTTGACAAAATCGAAGTATTTTATAGAAAAGGTTTTAAATTAAACTTCGTACACCATCCTCAGTTAATGATAGAAATAGCCATATGTCAGATACCCCAAGTAACAGTGGGTTGGTTTGAGTCCAGGCAGAAATTTTGGTATCTTGCTAGCATTGTACTTAACTCTTGTCCTAGCCTGTTGTGAGGCTGGATTTGCTTTTGTCTGTTATTCTCACTTTTCAGGGCACTAAAATCATATTACTCGAGGTGCTTCAGTATGACATGCATATTGAGCAATAGCTCACAAAATAGCTGCCTGAAAGCATTCTGGAAGGCCACTGTCATAGAAACCCCAATATTGCGTCTCAACATTAGTATGGGAAACTTCCAGTACTTTTGCATTTTGAGCAAGGTAAAAAGCTATTGTGTGCTGTTATCCTACACTGTTCCGTGCTTAGCATCATTATTTAGCACTGTATAAAATGAATGTAAAACATTTTGTACAGATAACAATGATAACATTTTGCTCTTGCTTGTGTAGACAATGACATAAATTTAAGCCAGCAGGAAAACATGCACTGTCTATTAAAAAGAAAGAAATATATTATAAAATATATTGTTGAACAACTGTCTGAACACTTTGAAAAGAAAAAAAAAAAAAAAGCAGTCATTTTTATGAAGGTGATCTTGGTGGGGAAGCCCACAAAGCTTCTCAAAAAGCTATCAGTGCTATGTGTTCAGGTGTGTGTGGGAAAAGTGGCTTTTCTGTGATGTGGAGTGTAGGTTTCTGTATGTGTGAAAGTGGCTTTTTTGTGGTATGGAGTGTAGGTTTAAGAGTTTTAAAGATTTTCATTCAGTGCTATAACCAAAGCAATAAATGGTATTGGGTAGGGAATATTGGCCAGTTTTGTTCAACTCTACACCAGTCTATGCTGAATCCATATTCAGTGACCTTTGTGCCCAATTTGGAGGCTTTAGAGAAGAGACACTGGGGTAATACAATGAATGCTTGTGTGCTTATGAAGATCGCTAACAAAAGAGTAATTACTCAGTTGGTGTTCAGATGCCCTCACATTGGCATTCTTCTGTGCACCTTAGTGTTTCTATATTTGAAAGAGGGGTCTCTTTGGGGCTGCTAGTAAGATCACTGGGATATAGGTGCCTGTGTGTACTGACTATGTGTGTGTCGTTGTTTAAATGTCAAAAATACACTTTGCAGGAGAGCCAGCAAAACTTTGTTACAATATGGTGCTCCATGAAATGTGCTTTCTAGATTTGTTTTTATTGTATTACAATAAATTGTAAAGGAAAATATACCTCTTCTGTGTCTTCTTATTCTAATATTGATTATTAATATGCAGTGGAATCTTGACATTAGATCAAGGAAACTTAGAGCTGTATTTAATACAATAGTCTATGCCACCCTGAGTAGGTCTTAAGCGATATGAGCAAATCCCATTATAAATGGTGGGACTGAATGTTGGTTAGAGTTTGATCACAGACAAATCAACTTCAGCTAATCTGAAGAAAATTCAAATGCTGAGCAAAATTCAAATGAAAAAAGAGGCTTATAGAAAGTGGAAGAAAAGACAGGCAGCCTGGGAAGAATACAGGGATGTTGTCCGAGAAGCTAGGGATCAGGTTAGGAAAGCTAAGGCCCAGTTAGAATTAAACTTGGCTAGGGATATTAAGGATAACAGGAAGGGATTCTGCAGGTTCATAGCAAATAAAAAAACAGAATAGGGAGAACATAGGTCCCCTCAGGAAGCTCTCAGGAAAACTAGCTACACAGGATTTGGAAAAGGCTGAGGTCCTTAATGACTTTTTTACCTCGGTCTTCATTGGCAAAGGCTCTGAACAGACCACCCAAGTCTTGGAAGGCAGACCCAGGGACTGTGAGAATAAAGACCTAGGGCCCACTGTAGGAGAGGAACTGGTTCGAGACCAGAGGAACTGGTTCGAGACTTGTGAATGTGCACAAGTCCATGGGTCCTGATGAAATCCATCCACGGGTCCTGAAGGAGCTGGCAAATGAAGTTGCTAAGCTGCTGGCCATCATATTTCAAAAATCATGGCAGTCAGATGAAGTTCCCAACAACTGGAAAAAGGGAAATATAACCCCCATTTTCAAGAAGGAGAAAATGGATGACCCAGGGAATTACAGACCAGTCAGTCTCACCTCTGTGCCTGGCAAAATCTTGGAGCAGCTTCCCCTGGAAGGCATGCTAAGGCACATGAAAAACAACAAGGTGCTTGGTGACAGCCAGCATGGCTTCATTAAGGGGAAATCCTGCCTGACCAATTTGGTGGCCTTCTATGATGGGGCTACAGAACTGATGGACAGTGGAAAAGCAGTTGATGTCATCTACCTGGACTTGTGCAAAGCATTCCACACTGTCCCACATGACATCCTTGTCTCTAAATTGGAGAGACATCAATTTGATAGATGGACCACTCGGTGGATAAAGAACTGGCTGGATGGCCACATGCAAATTGTTGTGGTCAATGGCTCAATGTCCAGCTGGAGACCAGTAATGAGCGGTGACCACTCAGGGATCAGTGTTGGAACCAGTCTTGTTCAACATCTTCATTGCTGACATGGACAGTGGGATTGAGTGCGCCGTCAGCAAGTTTGCTGATGACACCAAGCTGTGTGGTTCGGTTGATACGCTGGAGGGAAGGAATGCCATCCAGAGGGACCTTGAGACACCTGTGAGGTGGGCTGATGCCAACCTCATGAAGTTTAACCATGCCAAGTGCAAGGTCCTACACCTGGGTCAGAGCAATCCCAGGCACAGCTACAGGTTGGGCAGAGAAGGGATTCAGAGCAGCCCTGCAGAGAAGGACTTCAGGGTGCTGGTCAGTGAGAACAAATGAACATGATCTGGCAGTATGCGCTTGCAGCCCAGAAAGCCAACCGTATCCTGGGCTGCATCAAAAGGAGCATGACCACCAGGTCGAAGGAGGTGATCCTGCCCCTTTACTCTGCTCTCCTGAGACCTCACTTGGAGTATTGTATGCAGTTCTGGTGTCCTCAACATAAGAAGAACATGGAAATGTTGGAACAAGTCCAGAGGAGGGCCACGAGGATGATCAGGGGACTGGAGCACCTCCCATATGAAGATAGGCTGAGAAAGTTGGGGCTGTTCAGCCTGGAGAAGAGAAGGCTGCATGGAGACCTCATAGCAGCCTTCCAGTATCTGAATTGGACCTATAGGCGTGCTGGGGAGGGACTCTTCATTGAGTACTGTAGTGATAGGACAAGGGGTAATGAGTTCAAACTTAAACAGTGGAAGTTTAGATAGGATATAAGGAGGAAATCCTTTCCTGTGAGGGTGGTGAGGAATTGGAATGGGTTGCCCAGGGAAGCTGTGAATGCTCCATACCTGGCAGTGTTGAAGGCCAGGTTGGATGAGGCCTTGGGTGATATGGTTTAGTGTGAGGTGTCCCTGCCCATGGCAGGGGGGTTGGAACTTGATGATTTTAAGGTCCTTTCGAACCCTAACTATTCTATGATTCTATTATTCTGTGAATATGATTTCCATAATCTGATATATAACTTGACTCACTGTATATGCCTGTGTACTTCTAATGTTCATGTTAGTGAATCCACTGGCTTAAATGTGTCTTACAGAGGTAATGTGAAGTGGAAACACAGTGAGTGAACATCCAGTTCAAATCCACCTTATTCTGTATGCCTGCCTCACAGGTAGTCTGTTTAATGTGAAAGTCTGTGCATGTATTTCTGAGGACATGCCAACAACACAGTGCATACAGGGTCTGCATCCTCTAAAGAGCATGTTCTGGCTGTACCTGCAATGTGCTTGTTGGAGCACATGCATCAAACAGACACATGTGGGCTGCAGTATGGATATGGTATTTTCTGTCCAGAATTCCATGTGTAAATATTTCTTGTAGAAATATGTGAATAACTTGCTTCACTTTCTTTCTTCTTCCACACCAGTGTCAAGATGCCATGTCCTAGCTGTTCCTCTGCTTCCCTTGGCCACACCAAATTAAGTATTAATAAGATATTCTAATCAAGGATCCAAAGACAGCAGATTTCCTAGTCCACATAAAACATTCTTCCTTACTCAGTGGGTTGGATGGGAAGGAAGACAGGTCTCAAACACCTGGAGTTTCCAGGGCTGTTGAACAAAGGGACAGATGAGCTCCCAGGACCAGCACACCCCCATTCCCGCACACATACATGACCTGAAAGTTAAAATGATTAAACTGTAAAAGATGTTTCAGAAGAAACTCATCTGACATTCCCTTCTCATAAGGATAAAGGTATATCCAAAGAAAGTCTTAAGTTTAAGCAATAATGCTTAAACAACAATATTTTAGTGATTAACCAATAGTACTCACAAGTCTGGTTAGTAAGCTGGCATTAAACAGTTGAATTTCAGTGTGATGCAAACAACTGAATTATTTTTATTGTTAAGGTTTGCTGCAAAAGAGTTTGGCTGAACCTCTAAACAACTTTTATATTTAATTTAAGGGCTTGAATTTACCATGTGAAGACACCTGGAACTTAGGCACTTGGTGAATCAGATTTAAGTTAAGCATCTGGCACCAGTTTGACTCTGGAGCTAGTGCTCTTACCTGTAAGACCAAACCCTGTCTGTGTAGCTTCAACCATGAGGAACCCAAAATTAAAGGCTGTCTGGCAGGTGGTTTTCTCAGTGCTATAGTGCTAGAACAGTTTCTGTGTATGTCAGGTAGACCAAATAATATTTTCCATATAGTGAAGCTGTGTGATTGACCTTTGTATTTCTCAAGTAAAAAGGTGGTATAACATTATGACTATTGACTAAACCCAAAATTTTCTCAAGCAAAGAGCATTAACTTCTTGATGTCCTTATTCCTAGGACATCTTATTTACATTTACATTACACCTTATTGTAAATAAAGCCAGGTAAGTGTCTGGTAACCCAAACTCAAGGAAAACAAGAAGTATAACTGAAGACTGGTTCAATTCTACATGCTTAACATATTATGCAAACTGGCACACTTTCAGTTGGCTTTCCTTTTTCTGTTTGCAGAGAGGGGGGTGTATTTTTTTTTTAACTGGGAAGATAAAACTGTAAGCACAGGACTAGTATTTAGAAAAAAGGTAATTAAAAATCAGAAAACAGATGTGCTCTATCTGCAGCACTTGTCAGAACTTCTCTTGCTTTGTTCTTGACTATAGACCCTTGGAGCTTGTGTTGTTCTGCAGTATAAGAAAGCGGTGTGTGTCAGAGAAGATCAAAGAAGAGAGTGAGCCTTGGAATCAGCAGTGGAAGAGTAGAATATGTACCAAGTTAGTCTTTTCTTCAGCTCAAGTTGTTGGATGTCTTATTCCTGCAGGCTTATTTATGAGTCCTTGGAGTGTCTCCTTAAAAAACAAAATGTAATTGCCTTCAAATTGACTTCTTGGGCAGCTCTCCAAGTTTTCTTCAAAAGATCAGACCTTTGAGCATACAGACACACATGAAACAATAGCTAAACTTGCCCTAGGTAGGATAATAATTACAAAACATATTAGACCTCATATGCCTTTAGAGCCTATCTCACATGGAAGAAGTTTGGGAAAAAAGCTAAAGAATGGTTTTGACTGTTTCAGCAATGCATTAAAAATTTTTGTTCAGCTTTTTCTGAATCATTGGTTGATATCAGTGAGAGGATAAGAGCACTCAGCTGACCACTGGTTGACTCTTCTTCATGTTGTCCCAACAATTCTGCAGTTACAGGTCCACCCCTCCCCTCTAGATGTCCTGTTGCAAACTGGCACAAACGATTGTCCCTTGCAATACATTTTCTAGGGCTTTCTCCATTCCCATTTTAAGTGGCAACACTTGACTGCTTTATAATACTATTTACAAGTTTTGTTACCTTCATATGAAAGTTTCTGTTTTTTTTTTTTTTTCTGACAGGATAAAGCTTTATTTCCCTTTTCTGAATTTTCTGAGACACCCAATCTCCCTTGTTACTAACTGAAAATCATGCAAACAAACCACATACATTTATCCAGGCTGTCATCCAGCCCAATTCTCCCAAGTTTCCTGTTTCTCAGCCCTTTGCTTTAAAACTTAGACCACACTGCCTAGTCCAAAATCTATTTAAAATATCAGTTATGTATAAATAAGGTTTAGAGCAGTCATAGGACTTTTAAAATCCCAGGTATGAAAATCAGTAGTCAATATTCTGTCTTTGTGTTTTGCAAATCCAGGAGCCATTTGCAAATATCATCCAGGTTTTCCTCATCCAAATTTTGTTTGGGATACAAACAAGCATGCACTTTGTGCTAGCCTATCCTCTGTTTAAAGTA